TTTTTTTTTTTCTGAATCTCTAAAATGGATCTTACAAGCTCTTACAATGGTTTCATGAGAATTTTGAGTTACAAAAGCAGTTGCAGTATAGCGTGAACAGATTGTATCTTGTAAGTTATTTTGATATGGAATATGGTGAGGCATTTCTCTATTCTAATTGATTATGCTTATGGCATCACGTTGAATTCTTACTGATTTAGCAGTTCGTATAGAAATTCGTTGGTTGCTCATTTGCAATGGAAAACAAATTTTGAATTTGCCTTTCTCTTCACACCCGTAGCTTATTCATAACTTTAAAATTTAGAGAGCTTTCAATAACGAACTTCTGTTTAAACAGTGTTGAATTAGGGAACTACAAGTGGCATACATTTAGTGTATAGATCTTGCCATCTTCTGAAATGTAGTGAACAGTGTTTCAAGTGGGATATCAGCATAGATTTTATCTCCTTCCTCAAATCCATTGCCCGTGACATTTGTAATTCCTAGCAAATTGAAGTATATTGAAAGATGGAGTTTTCCAACTTCTTTAGAGCTTTGCATTCGTGCTCCTGTTATAGCAATTATTGGAGTAAGGAGAAGATTTGATAAAACCATTCACCAGTCCAGCTGCAAAAAGTTGGGAAAGAGGGATCAAGTGGCACTAAAGACATGTAATGACTAATCACCACAAAAATTCTCTATCAGCCTCCTTGTATAATTACAAGGGTAAGGTCTGCATACAACTGACCCCCCGGACCCCAACCTGTTGGGAATATACTGGGTATGTTGATGATGATGATGATGATGATGATGATGATGATGATCACAATTGCACATTTACCACATACGGATTCATGTTACACTGATTGGACTCCCAAAGGTGAAGAAATAAATGTTTTCCTCAATTTAGCTTAGTGAAGTCCTCTTTTATCCCGTCAGGTGTTAGTCGGATGACCATTTGGAAATTGACATATGAGGATAAAATATGAAGTGAATAAAGAATCTTTTGATGGACTTCACATTAAAAAAGGTCTAGGTTGCAGATAGTTGTTTCACTTTTCCCACGGCCATAGTTGCATGTTCAGATAGTTGCAACTTTCACAACACTAAACCTTTTGGACAAAATTAATATGGGATAGATGGATTGTACTGTTTTGATTAAATTTGACTCATATTTGTTATTTAGGATTAGTACCTGGGATAAAATAATTAATAACTTCCCACGACATTTGTTTACTAGATAAGTCATGGGATATAAGTGTGCATATGCTTTTTTATCCTCATGTCCTTTATTTGTCTTTGATAATCAACTCTTAAGAGGATTTACGGGACGAAGAAATCAATAATTTAAGGTAGTGCATATTCAAGAGCATGAATTAAGAAACAAATTTCATTTAATTCTGCTGTTCTCTCTTTCTCTCGAACTTTTCTTTGCTGGAATCCTTGGCTGTTCTTCCCCCAACCACCTTCTTTTTTTATGTTAACTAATACTAATCAGGCGCCACACTAATGAGTCGAGACCTTCTACAATCTGGAGCCATAATTGGCGGATTAGGAGGCTTGAGTCGATGTTTGGGCTGTTCGATTGCTAGGATGAGGAGGTTGCTGGTGTCTGACAGATTGAGGGCATTTTTGTCTTTTAATTTTGATAATCCATTCATGAGAAAATTAAACAACCCAATTGGGATGGATTATTTATCCCTCATTCTTTGGACTTTATACCCATTAATCCCGGGTCAAATGGGTCTTAATCAATGAAAGACGAAGGTTGAAAGAAGTATTCGATGGGATATCCCATCTCATCAAGGAAAGCAAATCAGACCTTAGTGTATAACGTGGATCAAAAGGCATGTCACGAAATGAATACCATTGTGACTCCTTTTAGAGATTTGACTAGAACCACTGCGGGGCTCTTGAAATAGTGTCATGGTACAATACAAAACATTTTATGAGGCAAACTCTACCATCATATTTAAGCTAATAATACTAGAATGTAGTGAACTGGACATGCTTTTTTACTTGTACGCTTATATATTTTCGTGACAAGTACTGAGTACCATCTTTAATCCTTATAGTTGATGTAAAGGTCAAAGACTCTTCTTCTATTCAGTTACGATATTCCATATTTCTCTTCAAACTTAATACAGTGTCATCCCTTGTCCATCCTTAACAAGTCAGAATTTGAATCTGTATTGTGCACACTGAATGGTCGATATTAGGGTGAATCATTTTTTGTTGGAGCCATGTATTTTATTCTTTCTGGTGTCGATGTCATATCTGATTATGACGTCTGTTTTAGTTATTCCCGTGGCCTTTAAGATTTTATATCAATGGATTCCAGTAGACCAACTTACCATTTGATATATAGATATTTATTTATACTTTCTTGTGCTGGGTTTTCCTGCTACATTTTTCTCATGAATTGCATTATCTAGGATTCATGAATTGCCGTATTTGACAGCTTGGACAAAAAGTCCTGAACTTAAAATCTTCTGCAAGCTGTGTTGAAGTTCAAACTTTGTAAATGAGTATGATGCAAGCATCATCCTGTGGTCGAACGTAATTTTGGGAATCCTGAGATGTGTGTAGAATTGAGATTTGTATTATTCAGTGTGCTGTCGACTAAAAATATCAGTCCATTAGCGGCTCTAAAGATTTATTTTTTTGTAGTTTCATTCTTGTGCTTTATGGCTACTAGGTTCGTTGGCTTCATTCCGAAAATTTTTTTAATACTGCACCACTGTAATTACTTACAGGCTATAGCCAATGGATTCGACCCTAACGGTTAGATCAAAAGCACACATATCGACGGCTCAGACTCCAGCTCACACCGGGTGAAATTCACCAGATATATCTCCATCAATTCTTGACTTCGTAGTTTCTACAACTTTTGACCAGTTTTCCATCTTTCTTATTAAAAAAAAAAAAAAAAAACTCATTTATTGGTGAGAAAGAAGAAAAGGCCTAGACTCTTTTGCAATATTGAATTTGATATATTCTGAGAGCTATTACTCAAGCCGCTCGTGAGTTCGACTCGTTAAGACTTTTGATAGATATTGAGAGTTGTTACACAAAATGGGCCGCTCGTGAGTTCAATTTAGCTCGTTTGATGAACGGTTGAGCTCGAGTTCGCTTATAGCTTGTTTCCGGGATCTGCTCGGCTCGATAAGACTAAGAATGATAATTGTTATATATTTTGCTTTAGTCAACTCGTCAAAGCATGTGCTCAGCTCGGCTCGTCAACGACTAGAGCAATCTGAGCTCAAGCTCGGCTCGGCTTGTTTACAATCCTTTTTGAATATTAAACACATGCTATTTATGGAGACATGAAACAAAAAAATAGTGTTTGTTTACTCTGGTGCTGCATATGATACGATACAACCTCCCACCGCCCGATTCCATCCCCATTCTTCAATAGTTAGCGCTGTAATTCAGAATTCTTATTATATGTAGCAATTCCCAAGAACGAGAAAGATTTGAAAATACTGTGGCATATA